CCTGCCCACCCAAACCGTTCCATGATTCCATGATTCTATGACTCTATGACTTGCCCATGGCCACAAAGCGGACCAGTGACAAAGTCCCGACCAGAAGACAGCTCGTGTGTTTTAGCCACCTGAATTGCCCATTTTAGCCGTTCCTGCTGGGCTCCGCTGGGCTGGAGGGCGGTGACAGCCGCCTCGCAGGCTGATTGCAAGTTTACAAGAGGAATTGCCATTCTTCAGACAATGATTAATTGCTTCCCTTCCAGGCATTACTATTATTAGTACTATGAATTATTTGTACGCAACGTATCGGTGATAAAATGGGCTAGCACGCCATGCTCCTACTTGAAGCACATTAGGACTTTCAACGGACGGCAAATCATGGAGGCACACTGGGACTTCCCTGCTTCCAACCACTGCCAGTAAGTGCTCAGATTTGCACTTCTAAGTCCCATTTTAAGCAGTGAATAAACCCAAGGTCCTTTTTTAAAGGCAGAGTTTTATTTATACATAGAGTTGGGAGTTGTAAAACACACACTATGTCAACATCTGCTTTGAGTTTTTACCGTTTAAAAGCTCCAAAGCAGGAGAAGCTGGATACGGCATAAAATACAAGTTGGGTGATCTGGGCAAGACAGTCTGTCAGCTCCAATTTTAATTCTTTTTCTTAGCTTCATCTCTAATCTCAGAATTAACATATGAAGAGGGGGGAAATGGAAAGCAGGAGAGGACAACTGACCATAAACCAAATCAACTACGGTAGGTACGTGGGTGAGCTTCCTCCAAGTTAGTAGGGACAAACCACCCACACGGTTTTTACAGTCATTTGAATTTTTGAGGTCTTTCATTATGTTATTTACAGCTGATGATTTTTCCCCTCCTGCTCCACTGACAAAGTAAATGAGCGTTTTTTTCAGGTCTTCTCAGTGATGATGGTTGCTCATTATGTTTTCCTCACATGTATTACAGCTGTATTGCCCTGGGCTCAGAGCAGGAGCTGAGCTGCACCCTGATCTTTGTGATTTTGTTTTTAATATACATACTGAATAGACTCATAAGGTCCTCCAAAACTGATAAGTGATATCCACTACAACAAAGCTGGGATGGAGAGGTGAAATTTAAGAAAATAGCATCCAATGAGAAACAAAGATACATACAATGATTTGGTAGGTAAAAAGAGAAAGAGGTAGAGGCAGGCAGGGGAAGAATCAGTATTTTTCTTCCGAGATAAAATAAAGTTGCCCGCTCACCTGGGAGGGTAGTTATCCCCAAGTTCCAGCAAGACTACTTTTGTGGATGAATTAGTCAAAACGCATTATTGTCTCTGCTATCCTACATTTATATCAACATGACTCACTGCGTGTGTGTTATAGAGGGTAACGTAATGAGAGCTGAATTGTGCTCTGTTTGCAGCTCTTCCCAATGGGTAAATAAACTGTTTGTAATCAAGGTAAGCATCATGTTGGTCCTTAGGTGCTGTATTTAATTTTACTTGATGCTTTTACTCTCTAGTCAGGTCATAACTCCCTCTGAAGGTGCACACGGGACATGAACGTTTCTAGCACATCTCTGTAAATTAGCAGCCCTTCAGGAGGCTTTGAAAAACTGCCACCTCGGTCAAACATTGAGATTCTGGATTACAGGAATGCCTGAGGGGAGGAAGAGGGAGAAGGGACTTCTTAGGCTGCATGGAAACCCCAGAAAGAAAACAGATTATTTTGTTCTTCTGAGGGATGCGACTGTGAGACAGGGCTTATCAACAGAATTCCCAGTTCTCATGTGAAATATCTTGATAAGTCTTGAAGTACAACCTTGCCATAAGCAGCTCTTCCTCTGGCAGCAAAAGTGAGAAGAAATGATTGAGCAGTTAGCTAATCCCTTCCTTCTCCCAAGCTGCACCTGTTTGCAGCGACGGGGCTGGCTGAACACACGTCTCATCACCGACTGCAAAAGATCACTTCTGAACTATTAACGCCTGCACTACTTTGAAAGGCAATAATTTATCTCCTGTTAGTTTGGGGGTTTTTGTTTGAATGCTTGGGGGGTTTTGTTTAACTTTGTTTTAAAGAGGGCCACGAATAGCATTATGTATTTATCTTGGTTTAAAAAAAGGGCAAGGAATGTATCTTGAGATAAATGTCTATACAGGTTGGGTTTTTTTAGCCGATATCAGGCTGTCACTTAAAAGCGCCACCCTCACCCCACACTAGTTACTCCCACCAAAGTGTCACATTAACGTTTGTGGGGTATTACGATGAACCAAATCTGGGATAAAATACACTGGGAACCGAAAAACCCCACAGTTCCTTATGAGATCAGACAAACATCACGCTGCCACACAGGAGGAGTCAGTAGGATCGGAAGGAGTAACACTGTGATAGCTCTGAGATCTGGAGGGGGTGGTGATGATCCTCAAAACCTACAGATGTGCACACCAAATCATGATTTAGAGATAAGGCCTGAATGACTATTTCTTACGCACCCATCCGAGCCTGGTCGAGAAGGCGTGCTGTCGGAGGAGATGGAAGACACCGATGCAACGGAGAGGGGTCTTGAAGACGATGGCATCGTGAAGGACCTCACCATAGACCGTGGCCGACTGCCTCGTCTATCATCCAGACTTGAAAGCTGCAATAAAGAAATATGAGGTCTTACTTCTTAAATCACAATATAGCTGACATCTGGTTACCAAAAGTAATGTAGAAAGGATCGATGGTTTTTCTTCCATGTACACTTTTATATTATTTAATTATACATTGTGTTTAACAACAAAGAAACAAACTCTAAAGAAAATCCATTTAAAGGACCAGGAAGAAATATTTAGGTCCTCACAGGCATGTGTATAATTTTAAGGATATTCCAGTAATTAATTTGTTTCAATGGTATTTACATGCTTTTTTACATCTGAGCTTTAATAAAGGAGCTTTCTACAAACACTTTTCTTCTAATCCATCTCTGCAACTGAAGTGACTGCCCTGTCAGTGTATTTAAATGAATGGAGCTTTTTTTAAAAAAAAGGAAAAAAAAACCCAACCCCACACTAAGAGGAACTTTATGTCAAGAGAGCCAATTTACAGTGACATCTAGGTTAAGAAGAAAATATATGAAAGACTTTTTTTTTTCTTTCAGAAAATTTCAGAGTTCTGAATATTTATACAAGCTTTGTCAGTCATTAATAACTGAAATATGCAGAAAATAATTGAACTCTTCCAGTCAACAAATACGAATCTCATGCTGTTTAATTACAGGTATATTTTCCACCCTGTCAACTACTGGTAAATTGGCCTTGTACAAGGAAGACAGAAGTGATAAAACTCCATCAATCCTGACAATTCTTACTGGTGGGTAGAGTGAAATTAGGAAGATAACACCACCTGCATATGACTTTCCAGTCATCTCCCTGATGATGTAAATGTATATTACTGAAGTGACTGACATGCAAGTATCATTAATGTCAATTATTCCTGTTCTCCTTGGGAATAAATGGCTATTTGAACTTTTCTCTTCCTAAATATATTAGCAAGATGGGATTTGAAGGACTACAAATGGAACACCACTTAGAAGGACACCATAAAAGCTGGCACATTCCCCATAAGCTCTCAGTATTCCCATTAAAAACAAAAAAGTCATTGCTATAGACAAAAGTGAAAATTAATCTCTGAAGGAAGGCCTGTCATAAAATACAACAGGATACTTCACTGGCATGCAGTATTCCACCAAGGTTTTGGGCACTCGGAGAATGTCACTTGGCACATTTTTGCTGTCTCGCCTGCTGCAGCATCTTTCTTGCCTCCTCCTTAGTCCAGGATGCTCTGCACCTCACTGAGCAGAAAGCTGAAGCTCTCTCCCTCACCATATCCCGCATCATCCAGAATAAATCTCTGTGGCATTTTCCAGAGACAATTTGGAACCAAATTCACACCCTGTTTATATTGATGTGATTGGCATAACGTCCATAAACTCAGTGGCACGCAGCCATTAGTGACCGTAATCAGAACTGGACAAAGCAGGTGCTGGTTTAAGGCTGTTCAGGTGTATCTTGGTTGCTTCATTCTTTTTAGAATCAGTTTAGTGACTGTTGCTCATTTAGGGGCAGAAGTGAAACTGCAGAATTTGTAATTGTTATCCATTTCCTTTTTTTTATTCCTCAATCTTTTATTTCTTTATTTACTAAGGACTAGATTGTGATGGAGCTCCCACCTGATACTCTTGCCTCGGAAGGTTTAAGCACAGGAAGGCAGGAAGGGCATGAAGAGGGCTCTGTTTTCTCTGTGATCTCCTCTCGGTGCAATTGTGCTTTAGACGCCGAGTTTCCAGGTACAAGGCGAAAACCACTACTGCAGATGTTTTTAGCCTCATGGCTGCAGACATAACCTTCCAAATCTGAGCCCAGGAAGCAATATCTGCCTCAATACACATGTGAATTGATGCAGCACCTCCAAAAATGATGACCCAACCCCAACTGGGGCAACCATGCAATTTAGCGTTTTCGTAAGGAAGCCACCACTCACTTACAGCAAGCACCTGCCATTTGATGCCATGTCCTTCACCTGCTGGGACGGGCTAACTGGTTTTCTTATTAAAAGGCAGTTCATGGGATTACCGTGCAAGCTCCTTATCTGCTTCCAAGGTGCCAGGGAAAGCCAGGAATGGAGACAAGATGGCAGTCCAAAGTGTAGGCTGGCAAGCTGGCTTTCCTGCGCCACGGCCCAGTAATTAATGGTCTGCTGGTGATTTCCTTTGCTTTTAGACGGCTTTTGCTGACAGAAGGTGGGTCTGTGCAATCTTAAAGACCTGTGCCATCTTAAAAATGAATCACTGCTTTTTTGAGATCATTTGGGTTCAATACCGGTCCTTTTCGTGGGAAATGGTTTCTCGTGTAGGAGATTCTTGAGCCCACTTTGGGGAGAATGCATGTTGTCCTAAATGATGCCACACTGTTTGCTCTTTGGGAGGTAAAATTTTCTCTAAAAATTGGGTAAGTGCTACAGCTTGAAGCCCACTTATGTATCCTGAACCAAACCGAACAAGGCAACTCCACAGCGAGTAGATCTGACGATTCCAAGTTCAGCTAAAAGCCTTTGCAGCAAAAGAGGGGGGACCCCCAAAATTTCCTGGCACTTCCAACATGCCAAGGACAGGCTGCTGCCACCGCGGCACCCTGGGGTGCCTTCCTCCTCCCCAGGGGAACAGGGTGCGTGCTGAGGTTGGGGGGCTGCAGAGCCACTGCTGAAGGCTAACTCTGAAACTCAGCTAACATCGTATCAGGCCAAGAGATTTTTGTAAGCTGGCAAGTAAAGGACACTTAATCATCCCTAATCAGAAGAACAAATATTCAGTATCCTTTAACCAAAGACATCCTGGAGCAACTAGACCTTGAAGAAGTGCTGAGAAACTGATAAAAGGCAACATCCTACCCCAGAAAGTGCCGGAAAAACTGGACAACTGCCAAAAACCAGTAACTGGGGGAAAGGTAATTCTGGCAGGGGGAGATCACGACCACTGACTCAATTCAGAACCAAAAATATTTGCCCCCCTACGCCTGTAAGGAGCATGCGTGCTAATTTACATAGCAAGCGAGGCTAATTAGTTGACCAACAGCAGATAGGATGGCAATTACTAACCAATCATCGTAAAAAGAACGATTACCAACTCTGTACGTTTTGTGTATAAACAAGGCACAGAAAGTCTCGTTGGGGGTGCTAGCTTTGCGGAATTACCACCTAGCGCCCATCTCTGTGCAGAAATAAACAGAATCAGTATTGCGACTCAGTGCGTGGATTGGATCGTTGCACACCAGGTAACGAACTCCCTTTGTGAGACAATGTCCTGGTTTGGGCTGTGATAGAGTTAATTTTCTTTCTAGTAGCTGGCATAGTGCTGTGTTTTGGATTTAGGATGAGAATAACGCTGATAACATGCTGATGGTTTAGTTGTTGCTCAGTGCTGCTTATGCCAGTCAAGGACTTTCCAGCTGCCCATGCTCTGCCAGGGGCACAAGAAACTGGGAGGGGGCACAGCCAGAACAGTTGATGCAAACTGCCCAAAGGGCCATTCCATACCATACAGCGTCATGCCCAGTATGTAAACTGGGGGGAGGTTTGGCCGGGGAGCAGCGATCGCTGCTTGGGAACTGGCTGCGTATTGGTCGGCGGGTGGTGAGCAATTGCATTGGGCATCACTTGCTTTGTGTATTATTATATTGTTATTATTATCATTACTATTTTACTTTATTTCAACTATTTAACTGTTCTTATCTCACCCCAGGAGTGTTTCTCACTCTCACTCCTCCAATTCTCTCCCCTATCCCAGCGGGGCGCAGTGAGCGAGCGGCTGCGTGGTGCTGAGCTGGGGCTGGGGCTGAACCCCGACAGACAACAGCACCAGGCAGGAGCGGAGCCACAGCTCGCTGTCACCGGGCCGGCGGGAGGGAGCCGACTGCGCGCCCGGTCATCTTGGCAGCGTATCTGCGATGTGCTGGCTACCCCTGCCTTAGTGGACGTAAACAGATGTGCTTTATTTTCTGGAGCATTGAGAAGATAGGTACTGCATATGCAAGTTGCACGTGCTACTGTCATTTCATGAATAAACCTAAAAATTATAGCACATTTGCAACACCCCTGTGAGGACTACCAGTAGACAGAGATAAAGCTTGCCCCGGCAGGCTTCAATATATTATTAGGACATCAGCTCCGCATAGTCAGTCCTAGAGCAACTCTAACCACTTGCATATTGGGTTTTTAAATAATTTTAAAAAACAATCACATAACAGCATCCAATCCCCATGGCTTTTGACTTACTTATCAATTATATTCTGAATTACAGAGCTGTATGCTGGCTTTTGGCCTTTCTCCCCGATGGGTAACGCTCAAATTAAAAGCAGAACAAAACCCCACTGGAAACACCACCGAATTCTTGGCTGTGCCTTAAAGATGAAGCAGCAACTGAACCTAGCTTGTTGGAATGAGAAAAGCATGAACTCCAGCACCACTAAATCTCATTAAGCAGCAGCTATCTTTTTATTGCCTGCCTACATTTAGGGGGGTACCAGAGTACGTAAGACTGCACACTACTGCACAGCCCTCACACCTCAAAAGGAATTACATCTACAGAAAGGTGACTTTCAGCTCTAGAAAAATCAAGCTACAGTGGCTTTTTTTTTTTTTTTAACCCCATTCCTTAAAAATGGAATACTGAAGAATTATCTTGACTTTCAAGGAATAGATTCAGGCGATTTAGAAATTGTTCCCATGCTAGAAAATTAAATTACCAAGGCTTTCTGAACATCTCGTATAGCATCTGCTCAGTATTTAGAACAACCAGGCAATGCTGCGTCAACCTTGCCGTTTTAAGCAGTGGGAATTATAATGCTGCAATACACAGTTGCCCGTAATTTGAAGAAATTCCAAGTATTTAGGAAACATAAAGTTAGCAGGTAACTTACGACAGCGCGGACCCCGTACTGTTTTTCCACTTTGTCTTTCAGCTGCCTGAAGCAAGCCTCCATCCGCTCGTGGAATGGCCGCAGCGCCTCCGTCACCTTCTCCCCGTGAATCCGGATGCCTTCCGCCAGGAACGGGATCTGGAAAGCAGAGTTATGCTGCTTCGCTCTGCCCAGCCCTTCCTAAGCAAAGGGTTAGGGCAAGACTCCCACATATGTTGCAAGAGGAGTGAAAGATCTCAAGGAATAATAACAACAACAACAACAATAATAATAATTATCATCAGCAGCATAGAATCATAGAATCACAGAATCGTTTAGGTTGGAAAAGACCTTTAAGATCATCCACTCCAACCATTCAACTAACATTACCAAGTCCACCACTAAACCAATTCAGGGAAGAGTCATAATTAATTTCATGTTTCCTGGCTTGGTGGCTGGGTTATTTTTTAATGAAAGTAAAACTAGAAGAGAACCATTAAGGTTGGAAAGGCCCTCTAAGATCATCAGTCCAACCATCAACCCAACACCCCCATGCCCACTAAACCATGTCCCAAAGTGCCACCTCTGCCCATTTTTTGAACCCCTCCGGGGATGGGGACTCCCCCACCTCTCTGGGCAGCCTGTTCCAATGCTTGACTACCCTTTCCATGAAGAAATTTTTCCTAATATCCAATCTAAACCTCCCCTGGCGCAGCTTGAGCCCATAATCATCATCAGTCTTTGTGTATGAAGCACAACATAGTAAAAAAGGATCTAAAAATGTTATACGTGATTTCCTTTTCTCTCTGTTAACTGAAGTCCTTTAAAATTAATACAGCCATCTTCTGCCCAGTAATCATATACTGAATTTATCAGATAGCACAAATATTCCTGTGATGTTATATTCACAGGCCCCCATACACACTATACTTTAAAATGGCAAACTGATGAATGACGACTCTCACACTGGGTTATTAATATCAGTTCTTTCCCAGCTTCATGAGAATAAAACCGTGAAAGAGAAAATACTTGTATGTTTTCTTTAATAAATGCTATTTCTGAAACTGCAAACGAGCTACATCCTTGGACAGGTATATATTGCAGAGCAGTATTTATTAATAAAACATAGTTTTATATACTATACATTTCTCCTTAGAAAAATTATTTTCTTTGGGAACAAAACAGAAGAGAAAAAAATTAAAATAATTCTCTTTTGTAACTGAAAATAATCATTTATCTTCAAGGCTTCTGTCACAAAATACCCATGCCAACACAGGATTATATAATTAGTTCATAGTGTGGAGGTGTAGCTGACCTTTTAAAATGTTTTAAGAGAGGCATTTTCATTCCCACAGCTACCCAGACATACCATTAGAGATTTCTACCTCCAGCTTAGGAAAAATATTTCCTCTTCCAGGTCCGTTTCAGCCCACACAGTGCTCTGATTCTAACTTAGGTATTCTCTGCAGCAATCAAGCTTTAAGAGGCTTCTTCTTAATAATTCATAATTAAATCATAATACTGATTAAAAAAAGATTTTTCTAATAAGACTGAGCAGCAATCAGAAGGAGTAGCTTTATTAGTAAGAAGAATAATAAATACACAGATGAATTACAGATGAACAAACTCAAGAAATCTTATCAAGTTGATTCCTCTGTGACTTGGCACTATTTACATGGTTACAGTTTCTCCTCCTAAAAGACTACAAAGAGAAGTAAGAATCATGACAAAAATTAGTGTAACCACTTCTATTTATAGCCATATGGATTTGCACTCTACAAAAATTGAACATTAAAATCAGAAAACTTCCCTGCTCTGAGTAAGTAAATGAATTTCCAAATTTTCATAATTATCAGGCCACACTGTGACCCTCCTATTTTGCAGGGATAAGTGGTCACTTGGCTCATTTATTTAAAAGAACCGGCTGACTTTTTAAATGGATCCTTTTAAAAAAATCAAATTACCAAGATGAAGTACACGTGGGGTCTGAAGCTTCAGCTCTGAGATAATTTTTACAAGCAGAAAATGCACTAATGAGCCTGTCCTAGGGATCAGCCATCTCCAATTTAGAAAATCAAGCAATATGGAGCAAATGCCAT